TATATTTATACATATATATAACACATTAAATTATTGCATATTTTTCTTTTCATTAGTTTTAAGACACTGGAAGTTGAACCATATCCAGCAGATTGTATTTGACTTTTACCTGCTTTACTATAGGGTCTTGTTGAAGTTTCATTGCACTATGTGAAGAATTGGAGGGGGTTAGAATTGAAAAGGGCTCCTTGTTTTATATTATTTTAAAATAAATGATAATGTCACTAATTAAAAGCAAATGTTATTAGCACAGACATGGTCAAATAGATCAATGAAGCATACATATTTAATTCAGAAATAAGTACCAATGTATACAGAGACACTAGAGAATAAAGGATTTTTAAATTTACTTTTTAACTGTTACATAAAATCATAATAATTATATATATAAAGGCTGGCACCATTTCATGTTTTGACACATGTATATTTTGTGCAAGGTTTAAATTGGGTTAAAATATTTATTCCTCAATACTTTATCATTTGTGGTGAAAGATTTCAAAATCTTCTCTTTGAATTATAGAGTACATTATTATTATCTACGGTCACCCTACTGTGCCATGGATCACCAGGACCTCTTACTCCCATCTAACTCTAACTTAGTACTCTGCCACCTCCCCAATCTCCCCAGTCTCACATTCAACTTCTATGAGATCAACGTTTTTCAGGTTCCACATAGGAGTGAGATCATGCTGCACTTGACTTTCTGTGTCTGGCTTATTTCACTTAACATACTAATCTCCAGTTCCAACAATTGTCACAAACGAGAGGACTCAGACTTTTTTTATGGATGAATAGTATCCAGTTATATATAGGTTCAACATTTTCTTTATCCATTCATTAGTTAAGAACACTTGGGTTCTTTTCGTTTCTTGGCTACTGTGAATAATGAACACAGGAATACAGATGACTCTCAGACATACTTATTTCATTTCCTTTAGATACACAGTCAGTAGTGAGATTGATAGATCATATGTCAGTTCTATTTTAATATTTCGAGGAAACTTGCTATTTCTCATAATGAATTTACTAATTTACATTCCCATTCATAGTGTGCAAGTGTTTTCTTCTGTTCACATTTTTTCCAGAATTACAGATTACAATCTTTCAGTCTTTTTGATAATAGCCATTCTTAATGAAGAAAAGTGATATCTTATTGTGATTTTTATTTACATTTCCCTGATGGTAAATTACATTGAGCATTTATTCAGGCTCCTGCCAACCACTTTTATGTCTTTTTTTTGAGAAATGTGTATTTAATTTTTTTGCCCAGTTTTTAACATGGATATTTATTTATTTATGCTATCAAGTATGTAGTCTTCCTTATATGTTTTGGATATCAACCATTTGTTAGATACATATTTTGCAAATATTTCTCTTTTTCTCCCTTTCTCTATTTTTTTCTTTTGCTGTGCAGATGATTTTCAGTTTGATGTAATCTCATTTAAAAATTTTTGTTTTTGTTTGTATATACTCTTGAGGTCTTATCCAAAAAATCCTTGCCCATATCTGTGTGTTGAAATATTTTGCCTATATTGTCTTCTATAAGGAGATACTTTTTATGTCTATGATAATGAGAAGTTCATTAAAGGTTGTGCATCAGCACAAGGTATAATCCTTTTATAATGAAAGAAAATATGTTATTTTTCCATATATAAGAAAAAATAAATGTAAAAATAAACAATCTCAAAAATTAAGGCACATGAATGATCTAAGATTAGGGAGATCATTTTAACCAGTATAGAAACCCAGCAGTGCTTGAGGAAATTACAGACTTACTTTTCCAACATTAAGTAATCAAAATGTCTGCTTTGTAAATGATAGCAAAAGATTTAGCAGGCAAATGATAAATTAAGAATAAGCATTTATGTCACTTGTGATCTAAAGGGTTGATATTAGATCTTCAAAGAGCTATAATTCAATGAAGAAAAATAAGAATTTCATTATAGATGAGAAAATCTAGCTAGAAATTATATGAATAACTTTTCAGATTATCTAGTCAGGGAACTGAAAATAAACTAACAAAGAATGACTAGTTTTCACTGTAGGAGGGTTTACAGTTTATTTTCACAAACTGATTTTAGAAAAGTTTTAGCCTTTCTAATCAGTTTGGCAAATATATTATAAAATTAAATGGAAAACTTTTCTCTTTAAACCAACAAACACATTTCTCAAAAATCTGATTTTTAAAATAAAACTGAATATATGGATACTTTTCACTATAGTTTAACATAGCAAAACTGGACATCATTGGAAAGTTAGTTATGGTATGATCAGAAGCAAACTATTCACACTTGTATGAATAGCAGATTAATTTGAAGGAATTTTTGTAATAAAAGCAATATGCGAATATTATTTCCCCCAATTTCTAATATATAGTTATGATCATATTATATATTATATTATAAGATTTTGTAGAATATATTCCTTTCTTCATTGAATACTCCATTTCTTGTTCATGGAGCATTTCAAATTTTGGGACGCTTGCTTATTTTCTTGAGAACACTTGTATATTTTCACATATTTAGGATTCATTCAAAAAATACTATCCATTTTTGTAGAATAAACCAGTATGTGTTTAAATGTGTCTACGTATGTGCATGTATATGTGTGTGTGTGACTGTGTGTGTTTGATTAAATGAGCATTGTGAATGTTACAGATAAATCCATGTCTTATTTTTGGGCAATTGTAGGTGGAATGAAAGCAGAAGATAAGGTTAAAACATAATGAAAAAATTGCCCATGTACTATACTAGACCCACTTGAGTTATGCACTTGTATATGCATATTCACACCTAAGGAGAAAAGTTTAAAAAAATTGTAATTGCTTATGTGAAAGTTTCTAGCTACTATATACCATTATTACTTTGGGAAATTTACTTAAATTTTTCTGACATCCCTCCGCACCCTTCCTCTTCTGAAAATCAAGGAATAAATAATAAAAATACAATTAAAGCTCCATTTCCACTGGACCCCCATTAGGCTTTTAAACTATGTCGATTTTATCTGTGTATCATATCTAAGATGTCAAGATGCCCTAGCAATATAGCTCCTTTATCCCCTTGTGTGAAATAAGTCACCTTACATTAGATTTAACATCATTGTAAAAATCTATTTATTCTCCCTTTCACTCAGCAACAATAAAAGTGTTGAATGCTTCCACCGGATTATGTAATGTGATCAGTGAGATGTGGTCCTTGCCCTGATCTATGAGTAGGTGCAGGCACAGAAGGTCATCATGTAGAGGATGGCAGTTGCTGTTTACAGGTGAAGGCTTGAGCTCTGTGGGAGCACAAAAGAGTTTTTAGTCACTAAGAAGTGAATCAAGTTTCATTTATATTTTGTTATAGGGTGTAATTCCTTTGTTCATTTAGTAATATGGTTTGTAATGAATTCAATTTTAGAATATTGGTCTGAGTTGAATTTCATGAATTTAAATCTGTCATTTAAAATAACAGGAACACTCAAGATTTTTGTAGAATACATTTCTTTGTTGAATACTCCATTTCTTGTTCATGGAGCATTTCAAATTTTGGGAACCTTGTGTATTTTCTTGAGAATACTTGTGTATTTTCATGTATGAAAAAGTTTTAGGATTCATTCTCCCAAATAAAAATCTCTGCATGGGTTCATTATTCTATCTATATAGTATCTTATAACAGATATATTTCTAGCCTTAAAAATATTTTTGTATACTTTTATGTGTATGTTTTTTTTTGTATGTATGTGGGGTTAATTTAATATAACAGCTTGACTTTATTTTGTAAGAAAGTCACCATGAATGTCACTTTAAGAACCTTAACTCTTTCAACTAATGGGGCAATTTATTTGCTGCTAGTCTCACGTGTTCCACAGTTTATGAGTTTGGATTTTACACCTTATTATATTTAATTTTTTTAAAATCCATAATTTTGATTTTTAAAAAAAAAACTCATTCAAAACAATGAGGCAAAATATTCTTTTTTTTTAAAAATATTTTTTTGGTTGTCAATGGACCTTTATTTTATTTATTTATATGCAGTGCTGAGAATTGAAACCAGTGCTTCATACATGCTAGGCAAGTGCTCTGCCACTGGGCCACAACACCTATATTTTTCAAAATATTTTAAAAATAACTTTAAATTTTTATGGTGATGTAAGAGTTAATTTGACAAAGGCAGGGATGACTTCTGGGTGTGTGACCAGTTGTCTAGGGCCTCAGTCTCAGAAGGACCCTCTACTTTGATTAATGTTGTTGCTGCCATCTTTCTTGATAATGTTAAATTCTTTGATAATTTTGAGACATCAGAAATTACAACTAATAACTAATCTTGGGAATCAGCTTCCCCTCTGCAAGAATGTTTGCCAAGATGATTTTTACCTTTTAAATTTTATTTTGTTTCATAAAAATTCAACAAGATCATTCATTTTCAACCTAACATTTGAATTCTTATATATACTGCTTTGAGATTGAACATCAAAGAAGTTTCCATTTATAAGAACTACATTTCAAAAATGTTTGTTTTTTATTTAAAAAGATAAAAGGGTTAAATACACCACACATATATCACTTTAGACTTTTAAAATATGAAAAGCATAGTTTTGATGAAAATTCCTACAATTGGGCCTATATGCTTCATGCCCACCTGCTGAATTTTTCAACTTCCAAGTACATTACTAAAGAATGATCAGGTTTTCTCAAGTCCATCATCATTCTTGGTATTGTTATAAGATACTTAAATCATTATCCCCCAAAGAATTTTAGTTTTAAAAACAGTAAAGTAAAAACTCATTAGATGTACATGTATTAAGAGTGGACTAATTCTGTTTCATTGTATTAAGCAACATTTGAAAAACATCAAGTCACTTGATTGGCAGTGAAGAGTGTTTCTGTGAATGTTTGATTATAAAGATTTCCCCCTGTACTTGCTCTTGTGTAATGCCTCTGTGTACAGGTCCCACTCACTTTTCCTTTTACTATTCTAATGGCTTCTTCTGTTTCCTTTTTTTTCCGCATGTTCCAGAATGATTCTTGGGGAAAACAGTATTCATATGCACTCTTCAAAGCTATGAGCCACATGCTATGCATTGGGTATGGAGCCCAAGCCCCAGTCAGCATGTCAGACCTCTGGATCACCATGCTGAGCATGATTGTAGGGGCCACCTGTTACGCCATGTTTGTTGGTCATGCCACGGCATTAATCCAGTCTTTGGATTCTTCAAGGAGGCAGTATCAAGAGAAGGTATTTTGTTTTATCTCTTATAACTTTATCAACTAGTTAGTAAGTTGAATTAATTGTGTTCACACTAACAAATCTATTTCTGGCTATCAAAAATATAATGAGCTAAAATGGTTAAAGTAAGAAAGCACAGTGTTTTGATATTTTGAGGATTCTTCAAGACAATCCCACAGCTTTCATTTATTTTTAGTTTCTATCTTGAATAATAAATTTTTAAAAATCTTATTTTGAATCCACAGAAAAACACGTTTCAAAATGCATGAAGCTGATATACAGTCTTATCATGCTTCGTGTTCTATCATAGTTCAAAAATTTTATATGAAAGGATATCCAGGGAATAGGGGAAGGAAATAGAAGGGGAAGGAGGCAGGACAGGTAAAGGGAGGAACTACAGAATGAAATTGACCAAATTATGCTATGTATATATGTACAAATGAATATAACACAGTGAATTCCAGCATTATGTGAATGTATAAAGTACCATGAAAAATGTTTTTTAAATAAATAAATAGAAGGAAGACCAGTGGAGTAGAGGAAAAGGAACAAGGGGAAGGAGGAGGGGAGGAAAGAGAAAAACACTGGGGATTGAAAGGGAGCTAATTATATTCCATGCATGTATGGTTATGTCAACAAAAACCCCAATATTATGTACAACTATAAAATATAAAAATTTTTGAAAAGTTTTATATATATACACACACACACACACACACACACACACACACACTATTATACTATATACCTTTCTGTAATATAGGTTAGAAAAATGCTAACTGACTGAATGGGGACAGGCAGTCATTGCGCATGCCCCTTTGTATTTCTCTCCATGCTGTAACCATAATTAATGTTACAGTTCATACACTCATTTGAACATATGTTGCCCTTTAGCTAGATAATTCACCACACCCTTCAGTTTTAAAAATGCATGTAAACAGCTGCTGTTGTGCATTCTTATGCACAACGCGTTAATTAAAATGATTGTTGCTCTAAACTTTTCTCAAAAGGGAGAAAAAAAGTAATTTTATGCAATGATTTAGTCACTGCATTTTTAATATGCTTAATTACTTTGGCTGGGACTAAACACTGGTTAGTAGAACACTACTAATACCCTTAACCAAATATTAGTAACTTTCTGACAAGAAAATGAGAATATTTTACACTTGAAGGAAGAACATAAAACACAGGGACTCCATTGCACATGATAGTGTATATGGCATTTGAGCTGCCAAAAGTCATTTCTGAAAGTGATGGCTAAAATTGCTCTAGAATACTTTTAGTGAATGATAATAGCTTAATTTTCAAGACAGCATTTCAGTTGCTGTTTTATTTACAGAAGTGCTTGATACTATAATCACACAACAGGAGAAAGGAAACCTAGACATTTTATTTCCCCTGAATGTAATTACACTGCCACCATCTATTACAGTGAAGAAGTTGGTTCTTCATTACTGAGGCAATGAAAAGATTAACCACCAAAATTGTTTTTAGGTTCATTTTTAAATAAAGACTCCAGTTAAACTGTATAGAACAAAGAGCATAGGATGGGACAAGACTTTATACAATGGTGAATTTGAACTAAGGTAATATATTCAAATGAGTTTGGGGTAATTTATAGTGATTTAAGGTAAGGCTACAACATCATATATCTGATGTTTCTCTTACATCTTTGCCTTTTCCATTTTAGTTGCTTTAAATTAAAGTCCTCCTTTCCCATCTAGTTTGTTTGCATCATTGCTTCCTGTTTTCTTAAAAACAAACAAATCTTAATTTTCCAGAACTGTGTTGCTTAGCACTGTTTTGCACATTAAATATGTTGCCATTGTTTTTATGATTTTAGGCTCATGTAAATCAGATATAACCTAGGAATCCTAATTCTTTAATAATGTAGACATTTATATACAAAGATGTTGTGATCTTTGCTGTATTTTAAGTAATCAAATTATGAATCTTACTTGTGTTTGGTTAAAAAAAAAAAAAAAATATATATATATATATATATATATATATATATATATAGAGAGAGA